TCCGAGTCAGTCAAAGATTTGATTTAGTTCAGGCCTACGTGTTCTGTGTTGTAGCAAGGAAAGGTTAACTAATTTCCATTTCCGTTACTGGGGAAAGTTCAATATGATTCGGATGAGACGTTAAACTGAGATCCTGATTCTCCATGGTCTTGTTTCTTGAAAAGAGTAAGGGTGTTACCCCAGTGTCCTGGCCAAGTTTCCCCCTGGCCTTTACCAATCATGGCCTCCTAATAATCCCCCTCTCTGAACTGGCATCAGCACTCCGCTCTCCTCCCCACTGAGAGCTGGTCTGTGGGGAGCGTACTGGTGCACTATGGCTATCGTCCCATCTTCCAGGTGGGGCTCAACACTGGTGGTGGAGGAGAGTCCCCCATTCATTACCTGTAGTGTTCTTTGAGTGGAGTGTCCAGAAAATGCTATATAAATGTAAGAAATTATAATATTATTATAATAAATGATAATAAGCAGTGACTCATAGATTGTGTTATTAAGAGGGTGACGGTTCTGTAGAATTAGAGGTGATTTTCCATTTTTAAACTAGTGAAGTCCTACACAACTTGCTGTAAGCAATTCCACTTCTCACCACAAGGTGGCACCTAACTGCATTTACTGCGTTGCTTGTGTAAATTCAACCACGATTAAAGAGAAGCGAAAACACTCGGTTGAGTTTATACAAGATAAAAAAAAAGTAAAAACGCAAACAATGCAAAACAAATGCTAACTGAATTACCCCAATTTGGAACCTCAGAGTCGCTGCCAAAATCAAAACAAAACATAGAGCTAGATAGTAGCTAACCACAGGATGAAATATTTCTTAAAATCCAAAGTTTGTAAGCTGGAGAAAGCCGATAAGGACAGTATCACAGAATGAGGTCGGTGTTGCGGCTGTGAGTTTTGGTCACGTAATAAAAAGAAGCTTTTCTTTCAATACCGGTAGCTAAACTTGGTCGATAGCTTTGTCATTTTTAATTTACATAACATCACCCGTTCGCCACTATACAATTAAAAACAGCAAAAGGCTCATTTTAAATTGAAAAAAATAGTTTAGAAAAATAGGAAAAACTGTTAGAAGGCTCGATACTCACTTCATCATGAACGAATTCACTCCCACGATATCCGGATGACCCCTCTCTCTCCTGCTTCCGCTTCCGGGTTGTTACTGGATCATGTGACAAAAATATCTAGCTTGCGAGTGGAGAGTGTCCTTTGAGGGAACAGTCATTCTTATAATAAAAATGTATCTTAAATTGCATTTATTCATATAACAGGAACAAGGAAGATGGTCCATACCGAATATAAAAACATTTTTCACTCCAACGTCTGTTGAAATAGCAAAGTGGTATATTTTCGCGTGTCCTTTTGAAAACTCCCGAGATACTTAACGCTCTCTTAAAATACGATTGAGATCCACATGCTGTGTCTTCAGCTCATTCATATCCTCTGCATAATTCCTATTCGGAAAGTCTTGAAACAGTGTTTGGGTTTGAGTTACTTTCTACAATCAATGAGACACTGGTCATTATAGAAGAGCCGTTTGCAGAATCTGTATAATGCGTAGATACTAGAATTAATAAAAAAAAAATTGAAAAATGCTAAAGCAAGGAAAACATTTGATTTATGTAAAAAATATTATTTGGTCACGTAAATAATTTTCTTCATTACCTGTGGCAAAACGTTGTTTTTTCTGTTTATGTGTTTTTTCTCTTTTATTTGTTTCTGCTCCTCTAGTTGTATTTGTAAATTCTTTATACATTTAATTTTAAAAGTGCGTAGATACGTATCTGTAAAATAAAAGCTGAAAACCTAGAGCGCAGCAACTGATGCACAAAATCAAAGACACCATTTGTCCAAATTTAGCCAATTTAACTAAAAACGTAGCAGTATGATACAAAAGAAAAGTATTCCCCGGGTTTAATTTTTTCTACTGTTCTCATCGTGTTTCCCGTCACTTTGGGTGATGAAATAAACAGTTTCACCTAAACGTGAGTTTATAAATGTTTATAAATAATTAAATCACTAGTTAAATCCACGCACGTGTCCTGTTGAGGGATGGTATGTGTTTCGTTAATGGGCAGGATCTGTCATGTCTGATCATTTCTCACGTCACATTAGCAGTAACATAAATAAAGTAATAACTAGGCATATCTGTCCGGTTTCAAAAACTTTGGCTACACTGAAACTGAATTTGTGTAATTGTTTCATTTCCGGTTTTACCTGGACAATAACCTAGTGCGCACATGGGAAAAATATAGATTGAACTTCCTTTTGGAGACTTGCTCGGTAAGAGTCGTGACGCACTGACTCTACGGCTGATTTAAAAAAATCACCCTTGCACGTATTATGTCTACTTCAGTATCTGATCGGTATCTATAATTCGCTCGCGCTCCATAAATCTTCCCAGCATTTCTCAGAACGAAGGCAGCTGTTGCGTGTGCGTGTTTGCGCCTTCGCCGATTACGGAACAGATAAAAGGGAGACCGCTGTTTGTGTGTTTTTAAATAGTATCTTGGTGTATTTAATGAGTTTACTATAATGCAAAAAATGACTGCCAACACGTAAATGAAATCGGTTTCTAGGTGGACTATATCTAGTATCTAAATAGGGTATCTAAATCCACTTTGAACAACAGTCTGAACTATTATCTCTAAACTCTTTCAAATCCAGACTCAAAACCCTCTTCTTCAGAAGAGCCTTTACTGAACTGGTTCCATTCTTCACCCCTCTGCTTTTCCTAGTACCACCATCCCCGGTCTCCTCTGTGTATTGTAATTGTGCTTTATCTTGTGTATTCCTTTTATTGATTGTTGTTCTCATTCTGTAAAGCATTTTGAGAAGCCACCTTTAAAGGTGCTATTTAAAATATTTTTTATTATTATTATTATTATTACTATGAGAAAAAACATGCGTCCCTGTGGCAACGCCAAGTGCGCCTCTGGGCTGCGGACACAGATTTCAAGGGGGAGAGTGGGATAACCAAGACTCACACCCGAACCTGCTGAGTGTGGGGACCCAGGACCTGAGAGAGGCTAGGTGTTCGCAGTGCACCCCTCCCTAAGAGCTGAGTCAGCCTTTCTAAGGAGAACAGTAACGCTGGTGTCTTGATGCTGATTGGGTCTTCTTAGAGTTATGATAAATGATTCTTTCCCAGGTTCACGGCTTTGACATTATTTCACAGCTTGACGGAGCCTAAACTGTCCTGCTTGTCGCTCTGTTATCCCGCCTATTGCTCCTGTTCTTCCTGCCTAAAAAGACTCACAGTAATATCCCCATTCCGTTTCGGTGCAAGAACACAGTGCAAAGAAGTTTATTTCTCTTTTGACAAGAAAGTTGTTTGCGCCCATTCATAAACCAGGTGGCAAGATTACACATGGGAGACTCCACAGGACAGTTTTGTTTTTACTATTTACATCAATTTGAAAGGGAGAGATGGAGCATTTGGCACTCCAGTCCGTGCCACTGACTGCCTTAAGTCGAAGTAGTCTGAGGAGGGTTAAAGAGACAGTGTACCAAGGCAAGAAAGGGGTAAAACCTGAGGAAGCAGGAAGGTATTCTAGAGAAGCACAAACACCTGCAGAATATGCTTTTAGTCCTGCTGCCATTACCAGCCCACAGATGTGCTCTGCTGATGCTAGTTGTGTATGCTGTTTGATGAGCAGGTATTTCTCTGGCTTTGTATAAGGTAATGGATCACTGATACACCAACACACACAAATGCAGTGACATAAAATGTTCCAGACCCCTTACTGCATCGTGCTGCCAAACAGTACCTACCTGGGCATTCCAAATCTAGTTTCTAAACACTACCTCTTGTGCTGTAGCCTGAGGGCACCTGAAAGACATGCCTTTGGCGGGCTTGCTTAGAAGTTTTTGGCCATTTCGCAAACCTCTCTTTGTATATTTTGATAGCTATTAATAGAAGAACAGAACAAAGTGCAGAAGCAAAAGATTAAGTCAATTAGCAAAGTGTTTAACATGACTGATGAACCCCGGCGAAAAAGCAAACACAGCCATCTGGTCTTTTCAGCCCGTGACGGTACGGCTGGGCCGCAGGAGCAGTCGGAAAGCACAGCGTGCCAGCTGGTATCCCCAAATCCCGCTGTTTACTTGCGAAGCTCCGGGTCAGACGGCAGGACAGGAGTAGAAACTAAAGGAAACGCCTGTTTTTTCTCCAGGAATACGTCCAGCTCAGACACCCCCTTGCCATCGGCGGGCGTACCCCTGGTGCCCTTGCTCAGGAGGGGTTAGACAGAGCCCCGTGCGCTGGCGTGTCCTTCCCCGGGCGCGCCGCAGTGCACCGTGGGAACAGGGGTGTGACTGAGCTCTGTGGTCCCAGTGGCCGACGGTGCCTGGCGCCTCCCGGTGGCGATGGCGGCAGCGGCGGGCGAGATCCTGCCCTTGACCGTCGCAAAGAGCACGCCGAGCTGCTGCCTCACCTCCCTCTGCCAGCAGGCGTAGACCAGGGGGTTGATGAGGGAGTTGGAGAGCCCCAGCAGCCAAAGGTAGTTCTCGATGACGTGGTAGAGCCGGCAGTCCTGGCAGAGAGCCTGCACCGTGCTGGCCACGAAGAAGGGGGACCAGGAGAGGGTGAAGCAGCCGACCAGGAGGGCCACGGTCTGCAGGGCCTTCATGTGGCCAGCGAAGTGGCCGGGCTGCGGCAGGCGGGAGCCGGCCAGCCTGGCCCGGCGGATCTGGCGCTGGTGGGCGCAGGCGACCTTGAGGATGTCGCAGTAGAAGTAGATGAAGACGGAGAGCACCGGGAAGAAGCCCGCGCAGAAAACCACGATCATGCCCTGGGGCCGGATCACCGAGAAGAAGGTGCAGAAGCCTTTGTAGTCGCTCTGCTGCAGCTCGCGCACCATCCCGGGCAGGAAGCCCACCAGGAAGGAGACGAGCCACAGCGCCACCAGGGCGCCGGCGGCCGTGCGCGGGCCCGCCAGCTGGGAGTAGCGCAGGGGCAGCTTGATGGCCAGGTAGCGGTCCAGCGAGATGAGGAACATGGAGAGGATGGAGGCCGCGGAGGGGGAGGTGACGCAGGCCATGCGCAGGAGGCAGCTGGTCTTGTGGGTGGAGGAGGAGTGGGCGCCGATCACTTCGGTGGCGATGCCCGGGATGGCGAGCCCCACCAGCGTGTCGGCCAGCGCCAGGTTGAGCACGAAGACCCAGCTCTGGCTGCCCTTCTTGCGGATGAGCAGCAGGACGGCGGCGCCCACCAGCACGTTGGTAGCGATGATGAGCACCGAGCTGATGCTCAGGATCCAGCCTAAGAGCTCAGCGTCCATGCTTGGAGATCGACCCCTGGCACTGCCCTTGCGCTGGCAGGAGAGTTAACAGGAGGAGGCCTGTCCCGTGCTCTGTGTGTCATGGGTGACAGACATGGTTTGCTGTCCACACTGTGTGCATCTGGGGTGCCAGTCTACAGACGCAAGCTAGTTGCAGCCTTAGTGCTCCATCCACAGAGGCATCGAGCAGCTCTACACATGCACAGCCCATGCAGAGCTCTCTTATCTGTCCTCCAGCCCTCTCTCACTCACCCTCCCTCTCTCTACCCTTTATCTCCCTCCTTGGAGTGCGCTGTTCCACACTCCCCCAAGAACAGGAGTCGCCAAGAGCATGAAAAAAACTGTAAAATAAATAAATAAGTGGGCGCGGATTCGTAAGCCACAGTATGCTTTTGCATAAGGTGCCCCCCCCCCCCAGGATAAAGAGGTTTTGATTTGGAGCAGAGTCCGGGGCAGAAAAGCAAAGTCTGCAACTGCAGCTGATGTTGAAATGCGTAAGGATCGCGCGTCAAAAGGCAAAAACAAGCGAAATGACCGCAAAAGACAGCGTGAGCACCCAGGCACCAGTCCTGGAAAAAAACAGAAGAGCATTTCCCTCCAGCCAATGCTCTGATCTCCCTGTTTCCACAGCACTGTCCGTATGCAGAGCCAGCTGTGGTCTTTCAGTCTTTCACCCCTTTCCAGTCTGGAATCTGGCTGAATTCCCATTCCCATAAGCGCAGCCTGGGATAAAGGACACACCGGAAGGAAAAGTCATCTTCCTAGAGGATTCCGTGTGGTGTATGCCTTAAAAACACAAACAAACAATTTTAAAGAAAATTGCAGATCTGTACTTAGAAAAAAAGGATCCATCAACTTCTAAACTGTTCTTTGAACTGAGTTGTCATTTTTCCTCATTACTTTATTCCTCTTTTTTACATTTCTTTTCATCCAGTTTGATGTCTGTTTTGTTTTCTGGGCAGGTAGATGTTCTCCCTGGTATAGAGAGGTCTAGCAACACGTTTCAAAGTTTTATCTGCTGCTTTCACACCTACAGAGCTGTCTTTGCATCAGTGAGAGGAAATCCAACTACGATTGCTAGTACTTTCACAAACAACGCTGAGGCACACTCCTAGATATTGATATGGATATTGGGAACCATTTCTGAAAGAAGCATCTGTTGTGCTTCGGTCATATAATAGTGTTCAGTAATACACACGTCCACAGTCAGAAAGAGTGGTAGTACTTGGGATAACTCCTCCTCATGTTTATAACACAGGAAACAGGGCTTGTTTGATGGAGAAGGTAACATTGCTCCCTACTCCAACACAGATAGTATGGAATTCTGCCTCAGCAGAAAATGCCCACTGCCTGGGATTCTACACTGTCTGGCTCTGGAGTCAGACTTGCTCTTGGAAGTCTGGAATAAGTTGCCCTTTCAAGAAACCCCTGAATAAGATCTTGGGATCCATTAGCTACTATCAAACAGGTAAGTTTAGATCAGCCCCTGTGTTTTTCTGTGCTGTTTGATTGGCTGGGAACACCAAGAAAATGTGGCTTCTGTTCCCCATTCTTTGAGAACTCTGAATTGTACCTTAGTATTAGAAATGATTTGTTCTCACAAAACGAGAAAACATGCAAACATCCATGACCTCCGTAGTTTATTTATTGATACTGTAAGAGTTCTCTTGCGCATTTTAAAAATTCAAAAATGCAGCTGAAGCATTTAGAATTAAGAGCAGCGGTGATTGAAGCCTGTTTCTGCTGCACTAAAAACAAAAAGTCAGCTTCTATCCCGTCCCTTAAAGGCAGGCACTTTCAGCCAGCAACTCTGTGCTCATGGTAAAATTCCATTCAGCTCCAATGTGCTGAGCCCCCCCAAAAAACCCATGTCCCAGCGGTGTGAGATAAAAACAGGCCGCTCCGCACGGACAGTGAAAAAACAAAACCCGGATCGCAGGCTGGTCTCCTGATAGGCACTGTCGGAATGTTATTCAGCGGCTGCCAGAATTTTCCGCCCTATTCTTCTCCCCCCCCGCCCCCTCCTGTGTCAGCACTAACTGTGGCCCCTGCCCCTGGCCACTCGCACTGAAGCCACGCCACGCCGCGCCCCACCTGCCGCCCGGAGCACCGCCACACACCTGGGACCCCCCCAAGCAAGCGCCCGGCTCTTCCTGGGCATCCCGCGAGGGGGTGGGGGAGGGGATCAGGCCGGTCCGGAAGCCCGTGATCCGTGGGCGGAAGATGTCCCTCAGGAGGAGACTGCTCTCGGCCCTGCTCTGCTGCGTGTACTGCCTGGCCTCGCTGTTCTGCCTGCACCCTGACCGCCGCAATTGCGCCTCTCTGGGGGCTCGGTGAGTGTGTGTGTGTGTGAGATACTGCGTGCACGGGACCTGGGGACTTTCTCATCTTGTGTAAATGCCTTGCAACCCCGTTCATCATCAGCAGTGACGAAATAGAAGTAGACGTATAAACATACAGGGAAACGGTCGAATGGGGAGCAGGGTCAGCAAAGGAACAAGTAAAAGTTCATTCCAGGCTGAAAAGCAGGAAGGAGAAATGCAGTGTTTCAGCTGTTGAGTCTTCTCCAGGTGTG